GCTTCTTGTCACCTACATCCACATCATTGTCTAACCTGTTTCCTTTCTTCAAATGGAGGATAGTTAGCTGCTTTTTCAAAAATATGCCCTGGCCCAGAGGTACGTGGCTGGTCCCTCAGTGAGGTGGTCCTAGCCTTCCCAGGCGGCAGCACATGGACAGAAAGGGCATGGGATGGCAGCCAACAGGATCGTTTTCTCTCCTGTGCCGTTTGCTGTAGCCCCTCTGCACTCTGCAGTTGGCGTTCAGGTACTGCCTCCTGCAGCTGCGTTTACTCTCCTCCTTGCCAAGGAAGGGGAAGCGTGCCTTTGGCTATCGCTCCGGCAGATCCGTCCACTGTGCTCTCCTCTCAGCCCTGCAGATCCTGTTTCAGGGAGATTGACTGTTTCCGTTAGAGCCCTCAGACATGCTCTGGTGTCTGCCGGTATGTAGAAAAGGAAGGAAAATGCCCTCTTGGCCATTGTCTCCCACGTCACGTGGTGCCCCTCTGGGGCTGGCTGGGGTGCTGGCTCGTGGGCCACATTTCAGGCCTTGGCAGAGGAAGATGTGGCTGTGCAGCTGTTGCTTTGTCATGGCAAAACCTTCTTGGTGAAGGAAACAACATGTTTGTTACCCAAGCAGCGTTCCTCCTGCAGGAGCCCTCGCCTGGCCGCTCCCACCCTCACCACTGGAGCCTGCGCGGTCCCCACCAGGCCAGCCACATCACGAGTGCTGCTTTTCTCTTACTTTGTCTTCCCGCCAGTGACGTCCCCAGGGTGCCACATTTGCAGCTGTCCCTTGTTAGCTATTTCCCCATCCGCCCTGAGATTCTCAGGTGTCACACAGCTCAGTCTAGGAACCTTGCCGTAGTGACCTCACCTAGACCCACAGCCCAGGGACTTCCAGACCTAGATCTTCAGCCCAGGCTGAGCCGACTCATGTATTCAGCACCTTCTGGGTGTGTCCATGGTGACACTGAAGAGATAGCCTCACACGTGAATAGGTAGGAATAGAGCACTTAGTGGTTTTTCTCCAGTCCACTTGCCCGCATCCCAGTGGCTGACAGCAGCTAGTTAGCGGAGCACTGTAGGCTGGCATGGCCGAGTCCCTAATGCTGGGGTCCATGTTGCTGCCTGCCTGTCTGGGTGAGAGTGACAGGAGCCGACAGGCAGGGATGGCCATGGATCAGAGTGCTGCTGATGGATTGTTCCTTTGTAGACAGATTTTTCATAGACTGGATGACCCCTGGGCAGGGGATGACCTGTCTGCTCCTTGGTCTCCTCTCCAGGTGGCATGCGGAGGTCTTTCCATTTGCCTTGCTGAATGGCAGGTCTACGTTCCAGAGGGGTCTGCAGCAGGATTCAGTGGCTGTTTTGTGCTGAACATTGTGTTACACAGGTTCGTTTTATCCTTACTTTGGATACAGTGAGGGTTGTCATCACCACACTTCTAGAATCCTTCCAGAGTAGTGGCTTCAGTTCAGAGGGTTCTGCAAGCTCTGCTCAAGGCTGCACACAGGCAGAGCCTCACACAGGTGTGTACACATGGGATGCTCGCTGGCCAGAGCCCCACCCATGGGTGTGCATATGGGACACCTCACTGGCCAGAGCCCCACGCATGCATCTAATTTACTCTCAGTTCCTCACAGTCATCCTAAGTACAGAAGTTGTTTTCCCTGTTTCTGTTGACACAGACCTGTTGGAGTTAAGTGATTAGCCAAAAAAACCCATGTGAACCATAAGTGACTTTCCTAGGTTTGAGCCCTGGTCTGTTTGAAAGGTTTTTGAAATTTAAAAGGGAGAATTGGTAAAGCTAGAGATTTCTACTCCTGTTGGACTTTAACAGAATAATGTATTTTTTCTTGGTCTACTATTTGTAATTTCTTAATATTGTGCATTTGCCGAAAAGGAGTGGCCCTGAACTTTAATATTTGCTTTTGACTGCCTGTATGTCATTCAAGTGCAGGAAGCTCTGCCTGATTGTAGATGAAACACAAACAGTTGTGGGGTCTGCATGGGATGAGGGGAGTAAAAAGAGGTTAGCATCCCTTATAAAAATCCAGAAGATGGGGTGGGCTTTGAGCGTGGTGCTTGATATGCCTGTGTGTCTATCTGGGTCCCAGGGTTAGACACCTGCCTCAGCCTTCTGACTGCAGCTTCCTGTGGGGCAGACCCTAGAGCAGTGGTAATGGCTCATGTACTCCAGTTCCTACCATTCATGTAGAAAACCTGGATTGAGTTTCCAATTTCCAGCTTTGGCTTTAGCCCTGACCAGGTCCATTGTGGACTTTTAGGGAATTAAAGGTCCTGTGGAAGCTGTGTCTGCCTCTAAAGTCAAGAGGTGTGAATGCAACCCTTTCTGGCTGAACCTGTATGTGGTCGCTTGGGTACGGATGTCATGGTTCTCATCAGAATGACTGGCTGCTGCTGTCCTAGCACGTACTACGCATGCAGTATCTGGCACAAAAGTCACCATCTTAGAGGAGCAGTGGTGCACAGTGCCATTCCAGGGAATTCCCAGCATGTTGTCTTGGACATTGGTTTTTGTTGCATCCCTGCCCTGTATCTGGTTCCCCTTCTTTCACTGTGTTTAGAAATGGTCCACGTAGTGTAGAGGCTGGGATGTGACTATAGCTGTAGTGGGCCTTGGTGTGGTAGGTCACAGTGGAATATCATTCAGCCATAAACAAACGAGTGAAACCCTGACATTTGCAACAAATTGGATGCTACCAGGGATCATGGTGCTAATAGAGAGAATATAAAAATTTATGGCTGTCAGATGATTTGATTTATAGTTACAAATATTGCTTCACTGAATCATACCATGTAAATGACAGGATATTTTTGCATTAACATTGTTATGAGTCTGATTAGGGGGACGGAAGAGTCACTGACCTGTGCACTCAAGTACATTGCTTGGTATGTGTACTGTATTTCACAAATATTTATGAAATGTGTACAAGGGGGCCAGTGGTGCAGAAAAAACTTGTGAGTGTATTCTCCCCAGAATGCAATGAACCTGCATTCACTTGTTTACCATAGTACTGTTCACAGTAACCAAAATGGGGAATCAGACTGTTTGTTCATCAGTGATGAATGGGTAGGGACAATATTGTATCTATATACAATATAATATTATTCAACCATAAAAAGAATGGCATTGTGACATTAGCAGCAAAATGAAAGGAGCTGGAGAACATGAAGTGACATAAGCCAGATTTAGATAAATACTGCATATTCTGTCTCATGTGGAAGTCAAGCAGAACAATTGATCTGAATGTGTGATACTGATTACGTGGGTTTGGGAAGTAAGGGGATAGAGTGAGGTTGGAGATGGGCGTTGTGAAGTCGTGCTCCTCTGTGCAGGGAGGTGGCTGTGGTTCACAGTAACTTACTGTATATTTTATGAAGAACTGGAAGACAGGAGCTTGAGGACTGCAATCATAGAGTGATGATGAGATGGAATGCTAATCTGATTCGATCAGTTCACACTGTGTAAATATCTTGAAATACCACATTGTACTCCATGATTATGTAGTTATTTACATGTTCATCAACAGTTAAATAAAACCTGTGTGACATTAAAATGCAATAAAGTCAAAATTTTCCATGCAAGCTGAGCAATGAAAAGTTCATTTCGGAGACTGTGCAGGTCACTGCCCATTTCTGGGGGCAGTGGGGGTGGCTCGGCACTTCCTGCCAAGGTGCCCACCCAGTCCAGTGCCGGCTGTAGTGACACAGGCTGTGGCACTGTCACGCCAGCAGCAGCAGCAGGGGTCATGTTGAGGTTATGGCCGCCCTGCACCCCTTCTCCTTCCCACTTTCAGAGCCTTCTTTCTGGCTTTCTGGGGATCTGTGGAACTACAAAGGTGTTCTAATGAACTCAATATAAATCAGCCAGAGTTTGTTTCCTTTGCTTAAAACGAAGCAGAAAGCTGCTCTGTGCTTCTCCAGGACTTTTCCTTCATTCTGACATGCTGATAATGCTGCTTGTCCTCTGAGCACCTCTAAGGGCCAAAGAATTGACCACGAGAGGGTTGGGTTGAACAGGCCGGGGGATGATGTCTTAGCTAGCCTTCCTTTACGTGGCCTGGTGCAGAGGTCCTCTCTACCTGCAGCTATCCTGCACCCTAGACGGAGCTCCGAAGGACAGAACCCAGCCCCTCTTCACCATCCCCAGTGCCTATAGTTGTGCCCGGCACATAGGTGTGCAGGATGTTTTGGATGAACGGGTCAAGGGACCCAGGAAGAGACACAGAAATTTGACCTTCAGACATGTTTCTCAGTAAGCCCAGCTGGCCTGGCCTTAGTGCATGCAGTCTGCAGGCTGCCTGCAATTCTGCATTTGTCTGCTTTTTGTTGCCTTAACTGACACACCTGAGAGGCACTTCTTTGGGAAAGATAAAGTTTCTTAGAGTTTACAGTTCCAAGTTTCCAAGACTGGTGGCCCCAAAGTCTGGCAATCAACATAGGTTAATTATGGCAGACGCCAAGGTACATTCACATCACGAGCCAGGGAAAGAGGAAGAACCTAGGCTGAACCGAACCTTCGTTAGAGCAGGTGTCCTCTCTCAATCCATTGTTAACGTTGAGATACCAGAGTTTAAACAGCTGCGTGAGTTGTGGGGCGACAAGTCCTACTCTCCTAACTGGTTCCATATCGGAGATTGAGGAGATTAAGCAACCTGGATTAGCAAAGCAAGGAGGAAGAGGTTTGGAAGGGAGAAGGGGAGGTGCCTCCCCCTGGTCCACACAGAGGTGCTTGTGGTTAGTGCCTCCCAGCCCCTTCACATCCTGACACCACACAACATGCTAACACTTTTATGGCACCCGTGGCCCTATCTATGCTAGACCCCCGGGCTGTCAAATATTGTGCACATGGGACATGCAGAGGCTGACCGAGGCAGCTCAAAACCCCGTGCAGTCGCTGTCCCTCCCAGAGCCTCAGCCAGGATGTTCTCCCCAGTTCTCCGATGCTTGCGATTTCCTTCGCTCCGTCTTGATTGCAGTTCTTCTCCCTACAGGAGGTTCCCGCCTTGACCAGAGACCGTGGCCCTTCCTCACAGCCCTCTCAGGACCCACCCTCCCAGCAACCCCCTTGGAAAAGATGCGGCAGCTCAAGGGGAAGCCGAAGAAGGAGAGCTCCAGGGACAAGAAGGAGCGGAAGCAGGCCATGCAGGAGGCCCGGCAGCAGATCACCACGGTGGTGCTGCCCACCCTGGCCGTGGTTGTGCTCCTGATTGTGGTGTTTGTGTACGTGGCTACACGGCCCACTGTCACCGAGTGAGTGCGCTGCTGGCCCCGGACACCGTGGGCTGGGAGAGGAGGCGCTGGAGGGGGAGACAAGCGCAGAAATGGCTTTCCTCCTCTGAGATGTCCGTGACGCTGAGCTATATGCGGGAGCACCCTGTCTTCTCTAGTCTTTGACTTGATTAAAGTTCTCCACTTTTCTTGGGGGGGGAATAGGGGACGTTTTTATCAGTGAATGTGCCATGTACCTTATGGTCCACTTCATGTGCCTTTCAGACTTCAAAATAGAGTGAGAGAGTGAGAGAGTGTGTGTGTTTTCTCCCCTGAAATCAGTAGGTAGCTCCACCTGGGGAGACAAGTGTCTCTGGATCACCAAGCAGCTGGAATCAGTACTCACTTCACCCCCATTGTCTGGAACATGACTCTTTGCTACACGTGTTCACAATTTCCAAAGGGACTGTATTTCTCCTCTGTGCTTAATGTGATTTGAAATACTTTGTTGACTCAAAGTGAAATATTTATTTTTTTGAATAAAGGAGATAATAGCCTTAAACTGGACGTTGATTTTGTTTGGCCAGGAGGCCGGGCTGTGTGGACTCCCTTCTGGGTAGGGTCTGACCTTATTCCCCCCAGCCTTCCCTCTCCCAGAAGTTCTGTCTTCCTCTCCTACTGCTCTGCTGAAGTCTCCTGGGAAAGCACTTTTTCACTGGATAAGATTGAGGAGGGAGGACATTTGAAGAGGGGGTATGTTAATTGACTTATTTTAGCAAAAAAAAAAAAAAGTGAATCCTAATCAGAGTAGGACTACAAGTGTATTCTTCAGTTAGCCTTTCCTGCTTAAATACTGTTTGCAAACAGGAGCACCCAGTGGGCCTGGAGCTAAAGGTCAGGCTTGACTTTGTTCTTAGCTGCAACAATGCAAATTGTTGGTTTTTCAGCTGAGTTTTCCATGAAGATTGACCATACCAAAAGGTTTGGCTCATTTTATTCTAACAGCATTGTTCCTTGGGTCCTGGTTCCTAAATTCTTTTTTGAAAGTCAGATTCTTGGTAACTGCTCTGAGGGTGTCTGTTCTCTTGTCTTTGCTGTTTACACAGATTTGTAGGGGAGAGAAGCGTTTTTCTAATCTCAGTGGCTGCACGACTGGCTCATTGATGGCTTACGCTGTTCCTGGAGCTGTGGGGCCTCCTGGAGATAGGGTAGAATTTGACCTGGCTCTGTAAGGGCCCTTAGTGCTGATGGCTCTGGGAAGAGATATACTAGAGGTTCAATCAAGTGCAAAGGCAGATAACCTTAAATTCCTGTTGGGTTACTGTATTTGCCCCCTAATTTAGTTCTGTTCCTAACCTCAACAACAGGTGGTCTGCGAAAGGCCTTTTAGGACCTGCTTGTTTGGGGTTTGGCAGGGGAGAAGATCTGTGGCCAACCTCTCAACCCCACTATGCACAGTGCTGCTGGGGCTCTCTCTTCCTGGAGGGAAGTTGTGAGAACAACCTGTCCTGTCTGCCTGCTTTGTGGTTGCCCAGTGTGAAGTTAGTCCCCAACCTGCGTTCAGAATTGTGGAGTACTTAGCCTCAGTATCCCTGTCAACAACTGCTGAAGTCCTCTCTTGGGAGGCTATTGTGGGGTGTGAGAGCGATCACGCCAGAGAAGTTTAGGATCTACTAAGAAGTCTTTTTTTTTTTAAGAAGTCTTTTATTAACCAAGATTGGCCATGGCAGTGCCCACTAGAAATTAGCAAATGAAAAGTCACTGTGGCAATCCAGTCTGAATAGAAACCCTGAAAAGAACAAATGGTTATTAACTGTGAAACTTGTCTATTAAGCTGAAGACATATATTCTAGCTTTTCCAGCAATATAAATTATCCTAAGAGACATGCAGCAAACAACCTGGACGTAGTTACAAGGCTGCAAACCTTTCCTGGGCTTCTCTGTCCACATTCCATTACTGTTAGACTTCACCTCCTCTAGAACTCTTGAAAGTACACAAATTGGAAATACTGAGCATCTCAGCATCGGTCTCTTCACTGACTCATCCAAGCGGTGAACAGAAGGTGAAGAATATAGACATACAGGGGTCATGGTCAGGGGCTACGCCCAAGACATTTCTTTTTAAGCTTGCATTGCCAGCAATTGCAGACATACACAAAAATGGAATACTGAGCAACTTCCACAAACACCAACACTTGCTTGTCGGTCTGCACTGCCTCCACACCCGGGCAAGCTCATGCACATGCTCAGTGGAATATTGTCAGGTGCAACAGGAGATTTAAAACTCAGCCAGGTTCTTCACCACTAGAGTCTGTCCTTGGGAAGCCAGAGAATAACAGGTACCGGGGAGGCCAAGAGTCAGAGTGTGAGAGCGGCAGGAGCACGTAACCAAGAGATTGAGCGTCCCCCCTCCGTGAGCCCTTGTGGGGGCTTGACAGGGAAGTGGTTATGCAACAAGGCAATACTACCCCCTCACGTTCCAGGTGATGATAGGTGTGTGTGACTCAAAGGTGGTCAGAACGGGTTTCTTAGGGGGAGGAGGTGTGGCTTCCAAGCTCTTGACCCTGAACTAGTTGGCTAAGATCATACCAAGGCAAGCTATCTGGTAGAACCACTTTAGAATAAACCTGTTTTTTTTTTTTTAATGCCAGTTTTGCTGTCAGAACATCTTTGAGTTCACGTCTGCATATGAAAATAAGGTTGTCTTGCCTCAGATTGCTGGGAAGACTAAACTGAAATAATCTATTCCTAAAGCTGAGTCTAGTGACTAGCACATGATGACTGAGTAACTGTAGTATTATATGTGCACCAACTCAACCCACAGGACTCATTTACAAAATGGGGAAGCTGAGGCAGCCAGAAGACCCGCCCATGTCACACTCAAGGAAGTAGAGAAGGCTACTTTTAAGCTTTCATTGCCAGTAATTTCAAACTTACATAAAAATGAAACACTGACCAACTTCCACAAATACCAACACGTAGCCACTCTTGCTTGTCCATCTGCACTGCTCCCCACACCCAGACAGTGGGTTCTTGTGGGGTACAACAAATTTAAACTCAGGTTCTTTATCATTAAAATCTATTGCCTTTCAATAAGTAAGAGTTTCAAAAGCAATACTTTACTGGCCTCAAGGAAGCTTTAATGCCTAAGTGTGTTGAACAAACTCAGATGCTGTGTTTAGATAGACGAACATTCTGCTTGCTGTTTCCCCCAATAGCATCCAACACGATGCTCGATTTCTCATCTTCTGTTCAGTGGAAGAGGAGCCTCATGCAGCAACCATGGAGGAGAAACATCTGTTCCATGGGATGGCTTTAAGCATTTTGATGGTGTTGCTGAGGAGAACTGGGAGTATGGTGTGAGAACATGAGCTGTAGGGAACAAAGATGTAAAGGAATGCTGGCTTCGTCATTTACTAGAATGATTTCAGTCAGTTACTGTAACAGGCTACAACCACCTCACATCTAGCAAGGATAATTTTATCATCTAGGGTAAATTCAGATATGGAAAGGCCAGGCATAATGTGCCTGCCTGGTCATTCCTTACTGTCCTGTCTGTGTTCAAAGCATCACACAGAACTCAGATGAAGGCTTTGCTTGCCAGAGTGGTGCTTACTAGACCCTTTAGTTGTTTGGGTCTCATTTTCACCACTGTTTTCTTTTTTGTTGTCCATCAGGAGGCTCAGGGCGGGGGAGCTGAACTAGATTTTCAGAAGGCTTGGTGAAGGCAGGCTGTAAATGGGCTTTTAAAACTAATGAAACTTTGATATGAGCTACTTCCTGGTAGGGATGAGATGCCGATTCACTGTGGACTTGTGGGGTGGAATTTGAACAATTCTTAGTGCAAATAGTACTGTCGTGTGGGTGCACTTGGTGCTTTTGAGACACCAGCTTCCAGTTTATTCCTGGTTAGACTTGAAGGCAAAGCTGGATGACTTCTTAGGATCCTAGACTCTTGGAGTCCTCAGTGTTGAGCTTTGGGATTCCTAAAGAGCATATTCCCAAGGAGGAGTTGGGATGGAAGCAAGAATAGAAACCACTGTCAGTGGCTTAAAAAGTTGTCATTTGATACATTTTGAAAATCACAGTACTGAGGTGTGTGTATTTGCCCAGTCTCTGGCTAAACAGAATCTGCATGATCCAGCCATAGCAGTCACTAGGGTGTGAGAATCAAAGGGGATAACTAAGAACTGGTCTGCCTCTCAAAGTGCAACGTTTGGCCAGGAAGGTGTATTGGACCACAGAGCCTGTGAATGCAGTTAATAACATTCTTGTGAGAATGATAATATTTTCTTGGAACTCAGAAAACCTGCAGCTCCTGGGGCTGGGAGATCTGGAGATAGAAGCTAAAAGGGAGTCCACATATTTCCTTGGGACCTTCCCAGTGCCCTATAATTGCAGTAGTTGCTACTGTGTGTGAGTCTGACCCTGTAAAGGCCAAGTTTAGTTTGATGGATGCAAAGGCCACCAGCCTCGGGCAAAGAGCAGTGTGCATCCATCCTTCTGTCATGCATCCTTCGTGAAGCAAAAGGACGGAAGCCTGTGACCAGACTTGTCTATATATTGAAGCTGGCAACATCTGCCTTGGTTGTAAGGAAAATCAAAGACAGGATTGCCCTTTCCCCCTTCCCCCATAGGATTTCACAGCATTATGTGCTTGCTAGAGGTAGATAAATTAGGAGGTACTTGAAATTGTGGTTTTTAGATTTCTGAGAAGAGTGGCATCCCACGTATAGTCAATACCAGTGGCTCTGCCTTGAAAACATCCCCTAGTGATGTGTCTTGTGAACATATTTGCCTTATTGTGAATGTAGCTTTTGTTTGCTGGCATCATGTCTGATTCTGTGCTCTTTGTCAGACTATCATGTCAACAAACATTAGTGATGAGATTAGATGAAGAAAATCTGTTAGTGCTGGAATTGGGGTTCCCATGTCTCCCATGCTTCCAGTAACAGGTGGAGCAATTGTGTGCATAAGTTTGCCTCAACTACTGTATCAGGCGCTGGTGTTTCTTCATGAGTCTGTGTAAGTCAGTGTAGGTATCCTTCTACTCTCAGTACTTTATCATTAGAAAGCAAATGTCTAGCTTTAGTATTTCAGTTGGGTCATCTGTATTACCTCCCCACCTGTCAGTTCTTTGGAAGGTAGCCAGCATTTTCAAAAGGCTTTTAATCCCTTGAGCTGTTGAGAAATGGTTTAAGGAATGCAGAGCTGAGAGAGCCTTTGGATGCTCTGCAGTGTTGAGGCTGCTCAGTCTCCTTCCCTTGTCATTACCACCCCTCACCACTACTTGTTTCCTAAAGGTGGTGTGTCTTTGAACTCTCCCAGGGAAGAAACCTTGATCTTTTGAATATTCCTTTCCCACTTAAAACAAGGCACATCTGGTCACGTGCAGATTTTTCAGAAAGTGTGTTAAGCTTTTTGGGAACAGACCTAACCTACAAGACACCTACTAGTTAGGAATAAATTAGGAAAGACCTATATGGGCTTTTTTTTGTTTTTCAACTTATCCACCTCTACCTCCAAAGGTATAACTGGCTTAATTGAAGGCCTGCCCATCCA